AGTACAAAGCTGATGGTACAAGACGGGGAGGAGTGACTGATACACCAGAAGGCTGTGCTGCCGTTCAGGAGGACCTGGATAGGCTGGGGAGTTGGGCAGAGAGGAATCTAAATGAAATTCACAAGGGCAAGCATAGGGTCCTGCACCTAGGGAGGAATAACCCCATGCACCAGTACAGGCTGGGGGCTGACGAGCTGGAGAGGATCCTGGTGGAGAAGGGCCTGGAAATCCTGATGGACAACAAGTTGCCCATGAGCCAGCAATGTGCCCTTATGGCCAAGAAGGCCAATGATATCTTGGGGTGCATCAGGAAGAGTGTGGCCAGCAGGTCGAGGGAGGTTATCAGGTTATCCTCTCCCTCTACTCTGCCCTGGGGAGGCCACACCTGGAGTGCTGTGTCCAGTTCTGGGCTCCCCAGTTCAAGAAAGGCAAGGAGCTACTGGAGAGCGTCCAGTGGAGAGCAATGAAGATGATGAAGGGCCTGGAGCATCTCTCTTATGAGGAAAGGCTGAGGGAACTGGGTCTGTTGAGCCTGAGAAGAGAAGACTGAGAAGGGATCTCATCAGTGCTTATAAATACCTTAAGGGCGGGTGTCAAGAAGATGGGGCCAGACTCTTTTCAGTGGTGCCCAGCAACAGGTTAAGGGAGAACGGGCACAAACTGAAACTCAGGAAGCTCCATCTGAACATGAGGAAGAACTTCTGTACTTGGAGGGTGACAGAGCACTGGAACAGGCAGCCCAGAGAGGCTGTGGAGTTTCCTTCTCTGGAGACATTCAAAACCCACCTGGACATGATCCTGTGCAGCCTGCTCTAGGTGGCCCTGCTTTGGCAGGAGAGTTGGACTAGTTGATCTCCAGAGGGCAATTCCAACCCTGATGACTCTGTGATTCTGTGAATTGCCAATTATAAGATGATTAGGAAACTCCAAGGTGACTGGAGTTGCTCTTTTGAGGATGGTGTGAACTTGCTTGTTTTTAAATGAGATGGAAAATTCACTGACACACTAATAAAGCTTCCTTTGGAGTGCTGTGTTCCTTTAATCATGTGTCCTCTGCACCTCCCTCATGAAAAGGACTAATAGAAATTCTAGAAAAACTAAAAATCAGTCTTGCACATGAAAATTAAACGAGCTTGGCTTTCTTCTTACCAAAAGCACACAGAAGACGTGGTGTGATTGCTACCGATAAATATGTTAGAAGAAGGAAGAGTTTTATTTTACCTAAAGAAAAATGAGTACACATTGATCATGAATAAGGTTTAGCTGGAATTTGGAATGAGGTTTCCAACTACTAGACTTCTGAGGCTTTGTAGGGTGGAGTGGGGAAGGGAGTTGCACTTTTGATCCCTTTTATGAAAGAGGTTGGGATTTGATTGTCAATAGTAAGAAGAGACTGGAAATAAAATGCTTTTTCATAGGAAGTATTTTCTTAAAATTATTTTCAGTGGCTTGCTAATAGTAATCGATAACTTTCAGAATGAAGCAATGACTGGATCCCATACACAGAATCGAGTCTTTTCCAGGATCACCTTAGCATTAATGGAAGACACAGGGTAAGAATTAATAAGAATGGAGTTTTGTTTTGGTTCATTTGTGTTTTGTTTTCGTTGCACTTGATAATATTTGGAATTGATGCACTTGTGCTTATCCATCTGCAACACAGTCAATAATCGGGATAATTAGCATTACAGTAGACAAGGAGTTACACCTAGTATGTTCATTTTTCTAGATGTATTTCGAAACCCATCCATTCTTAATCTAGCCTTAAAAAAAAGCATTGCAATGCATAGTACTGTTTGTAGCATCTGTTTACTTTTTTCCTTAATGTAAGTCTTTTCTCAGTTGCATGCAGTACATATTGATTATTTTTTCAGCTGTTCTTACAGATGGAAAGTATAAATTGTCTAAAATTTCATCCTTCTGTATGCATTGTTCCTTTGCAGATCATGATGCATTGCTGTTGAGCAAATAAGCAATAAAATTCTCTTTTAGTTCATTGTGACTTGAAAAATAGTGAAACTGTAATATATTTTGTTATAGGCAGAAAGGGATGCGGTTTCCCTTTTTCTTTATTTGAAGACCTTAAGGCATAGTATGAAGTTCTTTGAACTGCTGTTTTCTTCATCAGAACACTAATTTTTGAAGTAACTATATTCTCATTCCAAAATACCTTTACAGTTGGTATAAAGCAAATTACAGCATGGCAGAGAAATTAGACTGGGGACGCAATAAAGGCTGTGACTTTGTAATGAAGAGCTGTAAATTCTGGATCGACCAAAAGAGGCAAAAGTAAGAATACAGTCTTTTTTAAAAAGATAAAGAAGAAACCCTAATGCTTTTTTACATTTGTCCTTCAAATGCAACTCAGTAAAAAGAAGCAGAGGTGGATATAGATTAACAAGGAATGCTGTCCTAAGTACCTTCAGAGTGTAACCGAGAAGGAGCACACCAAATATATTAAGAACAGAAGCATCCCACCCAATAAATACAGAGCCAAACATCTTAGGATGTAGAATGCATTTACACTATAAGACGGCTACACTTTAGAGAGGAGGGGAGGGACTTAATCTAAAATTGTTTGCTATCTTATTTTGTCCCTTTTAATTGGAAATGCAGCCTGTGTCATTTTACATTACTGGGTACTTAAAGCAACAGGAAGAGATGGTAGGCATCTTCAAAAGAAAGCCTTCTGTGTTTGTTCATTACAATATTCGTAAATTTCTAGGACGCAGCTGCATAGTGGGCCCAGTTTGCTTGTATGTTGGTTTTTTTTTAAAGTTTCCAAAAAGATGTAAACTAAATGGGCAACTGCATTGCAATTTTGTTTGCTGGCTTGATATTCTTTAAATTAGAAAGGTCATAACCAAACAACAATAATTAGCCTCAAGAGAAGAAGTCGGTGCTTCTTTATGTGATTGACCACTTGTAAGGGAAAGTGAGAACAGGCAGTCTTAACAAACTACTTAGTTAAATTATGAACAGCAGTTAAAGTGGTCTAATGTGATTTTTATTCTTTTTTTTTCCCTTTTTTTTTTTTCTTCTTTTGAGGAGGCAATTAATCAGTCCGTACTGTGACACTTTGAGAAGTAATCCTTTGCAGTTAACCTGCAGACAGGACCAAAGAGCAGTAGCGGTGTGCAACTTGCAGAAGTTTCCAAAGCAGTTACCTCAGGAATATCAGGTATAATGGATCTTACTTTACCAAATAACTGTTTTAAGTCTAGTGCTTTGTAACTGGGTGATTATATTTGTTTCTTTTTTTTTTTTTCTTCTGAACTAGTAGATGAGATTAGATATTGTGAAAAATGTCTGCTTAGTTTCTTGTAAGGAATCTGGAGGCTGAAAAGAAGCCTTGTGATCTTAATAGAACAGTAAGGATGTCGCTTGGCCATCTAACCAAATATCAGATGGAAACATTACTGCGTAACAGAAGTCCCCCAGAATATTTTGAGGTATTTCTTCACCCAGTCTGCTGCCTTGTGTCACTGCACACTAAGAAATTTGTTCTGTTTCATCCCAGAGAATGCTACGATTGCAAAGGAGGGGCAGGGGAAGGGGTGGGGAGTGATACATGCAAATGTGAATCTCTCTATATTATTTAAGTATTCTTAAATACTTCTGGCTCATCTGATTCAGAGTTATTATAAGTTGCTGTTAATAGCATTCCTGAGTAGTAGTAGCTGATGTTCTTAGAGCTGTGGTGATTGGTTCTGTTGAAAAAAACAGTTGTACACTTGTTTTTGCGCAAAAACTGCTTCACTACCTATTTTGTTTTGCAGTATTTTGACAATCTTAATGGAGTACCAGCAGAAGAATTGCCTTATTATGGTGGCTCAGTAGAAATTGCTGACTATTGTCCCTTTAGTCAAGAATTCAGTTGGCATTTAAGTGGTGAATTTCAACGCAGCTCAGACTGTAGAATAATTGAAAACCAACCAGGTCAGTTTTCAGGACTTTAGTATGGAATTTAAGAGACTACATTTGTTAATCTGGAAGGGACTTGCTATATATCCAAACTAATTGGATGTGAAATTAGTTTTACACTACTAGCTGTGTAAAAGCTGTGCTGGGGTGAGAAGCAGAGCACAACTACCTTGTACACCTAGGAAGCACACACTCACGTCCAATACAAGAATTGTATGAGAGCCGACAGAAATTAACCCCAAATGACCCAAATATAAGAGAAAGGGTGAGGGTGGGTTGGTTGGTTTGTTGAGTCTCTGAATAGTAATTCCACTTTCCACCTTTATAGGTTTTTTGTTCAAGGCAAGGAGCTTTGTGAATTGCCAGAACATGGGCTTGTCTCCTAGAGTAGTGCATGAATGTTCAATATTGCAGAGCTCCAGGATGCTCTAGGATATTACCTATCTGTTCATTTGTCTCAAAAACAAACAAACACCCTCTGCCCTCAGGCCAGCAATTTCAGCCGGCACTCCCTGAGGTCAAACATATACATGTAGTTCTGATGGAAAGTGCTTGTCCTTTTTTTTTTTTTGCTCTTTTTTTTTTGTAATCTTGAATTTCTTCCCACTTTATATTCAAGACAGTATAATTCCCAAATTGATAACGATTAATGGTCTGAAAGATTCGAAAAGTAAACCTTGAATTGCCTGTGGAGACATTGACTAATTATGGCATATTAAGTTGACGTGGACTTTCTGTTCCCCTAGTAAGTTGCTGTTCAGTATATTCTTTCTAACTTAGATCCTACCAAAAACTATGGTGCAGAGAAATACGGACCAAACTCTGTATGTCTTATTCAGAAGTCTGCTTTTGTCATGGAACAGTGCAGAAGGAAACTCAGTTACCCTGACTGGGGTAGTGGATGTTACCAAGTAAGTATGTGTTGGGTTTTTATCTTTATTTTTTTTTTTTTAAATAACACTAAAGGGAAAAGTCAGGCATAAAATGTAGGCTATGACTGTTAGAACTTTGCACCTGGACACTACATGATCTTCTCATGCTTTGAAAATAAATGTCTTCCAACTATAAGCCTGTAGTTTAGATGACTCATCAAGTTACATGTGTGACCACTGGGATGGTTTGTGTGTTACTTCCAGTCTTGCTAGGGACTTGATCTGTCTTACCCCGTGACACTTCTCCACAACAAAGTAGGAATACTTATATCGGAATCTTCTGCTGTTGAAGCTTAATGTTAATTAGTCACTCTGATTTTTCAAAGGTGGAAAGCACTGTGCATGCATCACTTATTTTTCATATCCTGCTTCTCTTTAGGACTGTCTTACTAAAGGTGTCACTTTCAACAACTGCACAGCTCTAAAAAAGTAGTCATTAGCAGAAGAATGAATTTTACTCGTTCTCAGTTGATGATCTGCATAATTGCACAAAAAGAGTACAGTCAGTGCTTTAAAACATTCTTGAAGGAAATAGTTGCTCTGAGTGTGTTAAAATACTTGCAGTGTCACCATTTAAGTTGAAGGCTGGGCCAGTGCTTAAAGCGGGGGGCAGATGCTCTGTATTGACCCCTTCCTTTCCCAGAAGGGCAAGGAGAGGAGAAAAGGGAGAGAGGCTTATGAGTTGGGAAGTTAAAACAACTTTAATAAAATAATAACATTGAAAAAGAGTATAAATAATATTAATGCTAATACTACTAATAATAGAAATAGAAATACACAAAACCAATATTGAGCTTCCCGATGATGATTACGGGACCGTGTGCTGAGGTGGCTCACACCACTGATGCGGAGGGGTGGGCATCTGGATGTCCCAGACTGGATTCAGCAGCACACAGGAACCACATTCAGGAATGCACAGATGGGGTCGGAGGCAGGGAGTGAGCAGAGTCCCGCAAGGATGCCAAAGGAAAGAGGGCTGACCCCCCTGATCCCATAGCTTTATACTGAGCATCCATGTGTATGGGATGGAATACTTTGTTGGTCAGTCCTTGGTCACCTGGCCTGTCCCAGCTTCTTGCAGGTAGAAGCCTTTCCCGCCTCCCCACTTGCGGGCCACAGGAGAGCCCACAGTGACTCTGGTTCCCACAGGAACAAGCACACACATGGGCCTTTCTGCATAACAATCCCACTTTTACCCCAGCAACAAATACAGACATCAAGCTCCACCAAATCTAAAAGCAGGCACTGCTTGAAAAATCTGTAGTCACCTTCAGAAAGCACAGTTGCTTAGAAGGAACTTAACTGAAGGAAAATCCACTGAAAAGAGAATTGGTCCCATTTTAGCCAAAACAGGACGTGCAGTTAATCTATGCTCTAATACCAAGTGTTTACTGAATGTATTATTTACTTATTGAAAGAGCCTCCAAACTCCCAAACATATTTCTGATAAATCATAATACAGACTTGACTTTTCTTTTATTTTAAGGTTTCTTGTTCTCCGCAAGGGCTTCATGTTTGGGTCAAGGACACTGTGTACTTGTGCAGCCGCTCAGGTCAGGTATTAACTGTGAGCATTCAGATGAATGGCTGGATACATGTTGGGAATCTGATTTGCCCAGCCTGTTTGGACTTCTGTGACTCCTGTCCCCCAGAGCGGGATCCTCCAGCTTCTAACTTAACAAGAGCTGCACCAATTGGTAGGTTGCCTTATTTGCTGAAGTGAAACTTAAATGTCTGAAAACAAAAGATTTATGTCAGCTCTGACTGTTGGGGAAGAGGAAGGGAGAGCCTTGGCCTGGCTATTCTGAGATCCTAGACATAGGAGTAAAAGGAAGATGACAAAGGTGCCCTGCGTTTTGCTGTGCAGTTGTGCAGGATAGCGGCTGACATAGGAGAAATGTGTCCGAAACGTAACCGCTTCATCTCGTATCCTCTGGTAATCGGCCCAGAAATCTAGCTTTAGCCTAGCAATTTACCAGAAAATCTGATCTATGTTTTGAAGGACGTATCATTATTATAACCTTCAAAGTTACCACCTTGATGGAAAGTGAATTCTCACTTGTGTAACTTCCCATTGACAATGTTAATGCTTTAATCCAGAACCTGAAAGATAGGTGTTAGTTTGCTTTTTTTGAGGGAGGAAAAAAAGCTTCATTCACTGATTACCAGTTAAATGTTTTGTCAAGAACAGATGGCTTTCTAAAAAGCCAATTGATGAAAGAGAACAGTCTTTACAGTATTTTGCACTAGTGGCTTATGTTTAAGCCTTTAACCAATTCTTTAGTTGTTGGATGTGCTGTCTGTACTGCAGTTTTCAGGGAAAAAATAAACCTGTTTCATTTACCTGCACACTCAATTCTTTTTTCAAAGTGGTGTATTTGGGTTTGTGTGTACCATTTTGAATAGTTTCGTTTTGTCTTGGAGATGGCAACATTTCAGTGTTTGGTGGAATGAGTCCTATAGATTTTAGATTGACAAAGCTGTAACCCAGGAGATTCACATCTTCTAGCATCTCTTTGAATTCACGCTTGTATGTACAAAAAAGAGGGGGTTTATCTGTGCAAGTTTACATTTGTGTCTGTGTGTTTCTTAAGCCTCATGGCTGGGTGATTACCTACCATACAGATAAACTCCCTGATCCGTGTATTGGGGTTTCCCCCCCTGCCCTTTTTTTTTTCTTCTTCTTCCCCCCCTCTTCAGCTTGGTGTTTTGTGGCTTGGGTTTTTATATGACTTACAGCCATATAGATCAAAAGTATCAATAAAACAGTCTTTTGAAAGTCTATGGTTTTGAAGTGCTGCTTCTTCCCAGTCATGCCACAGGGAACTTCCTGCTCTTTTCTTACAATACTGATAAATTTTTCTCATTTGTTCTCCTAATCACTATTAGTGAAGGAATGCAGAAATTTATTTAATTGTAAAGGGAATAATCATGTTATTTGGTTGGTTTGAATTCCTGGCCTTTAAAGCTAGAATAAATCAGTGCAGATTACTGTAAATATGTTTTTGCCCTTTGGTGTTTTTAGTGTTCTCTTTGTTATTTTCTCTTCTCTTTAAATATAAATTTTCTAAGCTTTATGGTATTTTGTTTTTTATTTTAGACTTATGCTCCTGCTCCTCCAGTCTGGTTGTAACCCTTTGGCTATTGATGGCAAATTTAATTCCCCTGCTAACAGGATTATTCCTCTGTGCATAGAATTAAGCACGGGGTAAGAACATGTTCCAAGATGATACACCATCATATTGCACTCCTTATTGTGGAACATGGAGTTTTTTGTCTCTGCAGGGAGCTGTCGTCTTCTGAACCTCATCTGTCCTGGCAAGTATCGGTGCAGACAGTAGTCGGGGAGATACTGACAAAAGCAGCCAGAGTTTGAAAGAAGGAAAATTTACCTTGACATCTCAATAAGCGCCAGTATTTTCCTGAATTGCAACCTTTGATTTTTTTTTTTTTTTTTTTTTTTTTTTTTTTTAAATTTTGGACGCAGTAACAAGATCCACTATGCTGACTGTGTTAGACTACCTGGCAACTCAATCAAGATTTGAAATGAGAACTCTCCTGTAATAGAACTGAGGGTTGTTTTTTTGTTATCTCCTCTGCGTGACTGGTAGCAAAGCATCCTCAAACTGGAAATATACCTCAGTGGTTTAGTCAAAAGCCATGTAAAAATCAGTTGTCATCACTGCTAATAACCCAGACCTAAACAGGTGTGGGAATTTGTTTGTTTGTTTTGTCAATTCTTAGAATTTATGAGGGGAAGAAATAATTTAATGGGATAGACCAGTGGTTGGCAATTGTCTCCACAACTGGATTCTGCAGCTTTGAGGCTTCTCGGAATTTATACTAGTTTGCAGTAAATCGGCTAATTCTTGGGGTTCACTTAAACCTTCCTACACGCACAAAGTGGAATTTCAGACTGGTAACAAAGATGACTGTCTAGAAATCCCATTCTCATTTAGCATGTGCCAGCTCTACTGTGAAATTTAATACAGCAAATGTTTCAAAATTCTCAGAGTAATTTGCTAGACAAATGCGTTTCAGTACTGATACCCAGTCTGTAAAATTGAGATAGGATTTCTGATTATTTTTAATTTTGTTGGTTAGTTTCATAAATAATGGCATTATTACTATTTTTTAAATAGTATGAACATAAATGCAGCTGTTCTCACTTTTTGTTTGAAGGGCAAACCAGCAGCGATGGCAGCTATAATCTTATAGGACCATATTGACTTCTCTAGACCAAAACCTATATTGAATGTGTAAAGAAAAGTCTGTCTTCCCCCTCCCGCCCCTGACTTTTTCTTGGACATATAAATAGTATGGATTATTTGACTGTTTGTAATCAGTTGAGAATCAGACGTTTTGAACCACACGAGGGCACACCTTGGTACAAAATTAATCACTTGATGGACAAATATATAAGAGGAAGGAAATGAGCAAAATCTGTCTAGCTAAGGACAGCTCCTCTATAGGACACTTATAAGGATGTTTTTATTTGTTTCTGACTCTATAATGTGTTACAAATAATCCTGTTTGGAGTAAAAGAAACTCTTATGTGGTCCAATCCGTTGTCTGTCCTGTCAGGATAGTTTTCATTCTTGGAGATGTGTTAAACTTGAAGGAGCAGATGTGCCCAGTGCACTAAAAAATGCAAATTTAGGGAGAAAGATGATGTTACTCTGCTTCTTACATGTGCTGTGATGTTAGAATGGTCAGTGACTAGATCCCTTTCTAAAACAAAAGGAAGAAGGATGGAAGGGGTATGGAGTGAAATTTATCTAGCTACCGTTAAACTTGTTTAATAATAGGATTTCCATTCTAATTGTAAGAAAATCTTTGTGCCTACTGGACTTTGGGGTTTTGTTTTGTGGGTTTTTTTGTTTTTTTTTTTATTTAAAGAAACTCTTATGAGACTGCTGAGGGTGAGTAAGCTGCAACGTAAAACTGTCGGAAGGCATCACAGTTGAGCAAGTACCTTGCACTGGGCTAGTTCCCCTTCTTAATTGCAGGTTGAGTTTGCTTTGGATTATACAAGGCCTAGGCTAGCCTTAAACAGGTGTTTCTGAGAAGCAATACAGATTAGGAATCAAATGCTTTAAATGCGTACAAATTCAAATTAAGAAACAGAGTAGTAAGTGAACACTGATTATTTTAATATATGCACAATCAAGTCGGTGTAAATTGATTCCTTGAAAACATAAAGGTTTGAGAATACATCTTAGGTCCCAGAGGTTGATATTGTATTTTTTGTCTGTTGTGCAATAATACAGTTTAAATGGTATCACTCAACAACAATGCTTTTGATACTTGAAAAGAAATTATTGGTTATTTTTTCTTACTGTGAAATATTTGCACTGTCTGAACTTTCTGGTTAACTTTATAACTGTTAAACTTTTTTACTGGTGTTAATTTATTGTGGTCAGTATTTGATATGCTAGTCTCCTGTCTGTGTAAGTGTGAAATTTGTCATATTTAATTGAATATTTTTATCTTCTACACAGTTGTTTATCTTGAGGGCTTTTCTTCTTTTATTCTCTATTCCTGAGAATTAACTGAAAGATGGCTTAAAAAGTCAATGCTTACCTACTTCTGAATTGTGTGCATTAATTAAAGAAAGAGGCTGTAGTGCGTTGTGCCTACAGGGAAAAATCTGTCTGCCTGTCAGAGCTCTTGTGGTCAGATTCACCAGTACCTGCTGAGTAGCTGCATCAGTGAACCCAGTGAAGTAAAACTATTACTGCCTTAATAATCTGAGATTTCAGTTGTAATTTCATTGACGCGCAGCCCTTCAACTGGCTGTGAACTGCAGAACTGGACGTGGCTTTGGGGAGTCAGGGCGGGGGGAAGGTACTTTAGCCAGCAAAATCCAAGACGTTACATCCCGTCCGTGCGTTTGCAGCTGTAGCTGCGTTGGAACTGCCACGAAATGTGTAAGGTTCAATTTAAAGTGAGAATGAATTGGTGACTGTCAAAAAGAATATCTGAGTAACACTGACTACCTCAGTTCTGTTTGTCTCTGAGTTAAGCTTCTAGCGTGCTAGGAACTTCCACATCTTCAGATGAATTAAATAAAAACATGTCTCAGGTTTTTAAGAGCAAAATAAATACAGTAGGAAGCGTAAGCCATTTTTGAGTGTAGGACGCAGCTAAAATTGTGGCTTAAACCAATGAGTTACGTAGCCTTAAGCGTAGTTTCACCTGTAAAAGTTGCTATTAGTTTTAAATAAATACAGAGTTTGCAGGCAGCTACTTTAGATGTCCTGACCATATTGTGGAAAGTCCATCTTACCGCCTCTCTTACATGTGAGAACTTGGAAATCCAGCCCAAATAAGCCTTTCTGTTTTCAGCAGAGTAGACAGGGCAGCGGGAGCCCTGGAAGTAGTGCTAAGAGGTAAATGAGTTAGCTTGTCTGTAGCGGAAACATTTTCAGTATATAATGTCCACAGTTTTAATTTTTAAAAAACATTCCATGTTTGCTTATGGAAGTAAATTAATCTTGCGGTCTTTTTTTTTACCCCAGTAGTTCAAATCTAGAGCATTGCCATTAGAAGTCGAGGCAAGCCGTACCTCAGGAACACATTTTTTTTCTAGTGTTTCAAACAATTATATGGAGGAAGGATAGCTTTTGCCTGGAGTATGCAGCAAGTTAAAATTACATTGAGAAGCAGACAATTCATTCCTCTTGAAATGAGTTGAGGTCTTGGGAGGCTGTCACGGCCTTGGATGTAGGTTAATTACCGAACAAGAATTTTGGCCCCCATTAATTGACTGTCAGTCCAATGCAGCTCATACTTTCTGCTGAGCACTAGTAACTGAGGAAGAGTGATGTCACTTAAGAGCAGGCACATCCACGATCCCTTTCAAGGCCCACTTGTTTTTAAATCTTCCTGTCCTGCAAATCTTTCTGCTTGAATATCAGTAGAGAGGGAGGCGTGTGTCCTTTCTTCCCCACATTTCCTACGAGTGACTGTTAGCCAGCTGAGCAGGTCAAGGTCTTTCCCCTGCAAGATTTAACAACCAGCTTTTGCTTGGCTCAACGCGTGGGTGCCTGTTTGCCTGGATCGTTTTCAGGATTTGGGTCTATTTGTATAGGAAATAATGTGATCTTACACTACCAGACTTCCAAAGTGCAAATGTTGCCTTTTGAATGTGAAGCTTACCTTGGAGATAAAACAACTGTTTTGAGAGAACTGACAGACCTTGGAGATGTGTTTCCTATTTTGGTACAGAATGTAAATATAGAACAAAGTATTTTACATAGATTTTGACTGGATTGAGATATAAGGGCTAATTTTTGTTATTTATGGAGTAAAAATTTCCTTATTTTACTGGTTAAAAAAAGGTATGTCATGCAAAAGAAGAAAAGATTGTTCACCAATAAAATGTCTGTAGAAAATTGACTCTTCTTGTCCTTTTCTTTGAGAGCTGACATTTTGAAAAATGAAAATACATCAAGTCTGCATATTGATCACTTTATTAAACTGTTATTTGATACACTTTGAATGTAAAATGTTCTGTGTTGTTATTAGCTCATACACAACTTATCAGAAGTTTCAGCCTGCCAGTGAAGTAAGGAGGTTCCTGAATTCTCTATCCCATCCTCATGTATTTGATGCTTTAAAATTATGCAATATTGAAGTCTTTTTCCACTTGAGATGGAAGATCATATTTCCTTGTTTTGTGTAAAGGATTTGGCCACATGATTCCCATTTCAGCGGCA